ACTTCCATTCAAGATGACCAAGCGATGTAAGGCTTTGATGAAGCAGATTATTTGTTTTTGTCCTGAAAAAGGGTGTTTGTCGGATTTGTTGGCTGTTTGGATTAAGGTCATGAAGCCCAGGAGAGCTGACTGGCTTGTGGTTCTTAAAGAAATGAAGATGATGGAACATCCATTTTATTTTCAGGTGCAGTTTACATTTCACTTTTCAAATGATTTCTATATGTATTTTGAGGATGTGAATTAGTTGTAGTAATAGGAATAGAGTGTTAGGAAACTGTACTTTCGGTGGAAATTGTCAGTCCCAACTCTGTTCATAACATAATTATGAAATGGTATTGAAATGGAATTGTTTGTGGCGAGCTGTCTTGACAAGGTAAGAATCTGAAATCAAGGTCAGTTAATAGCAAAGGTCAGAGGTTTTTCCCGCGTTCTCGTTCCACGTTTAAGTCAGTACTCAGAATGAAAGAGGAGAGAAAACTTGGTAATTGAAAACTAGTAAATTAAATCAATAGTACCTGAGAGAGAGTGGCTATTTATACTTGTATGCTGAGAATGTCGAGCTTGGGTGGCCGGAGCTCCAAATGATAGGGTTAGGGCTAGGGCTAGATCTAGGCTGATGTTGCTGGTCCAACCTAATTTAGCAATCAATAACCCTAACCCACTTGGGAGGTGATAAGTCAGCATTACCATGTGTTTTGACATGGCGAGTTGAGGTGGCCAAGCTGACGTGGGTCTCGAAACTTCAAGTCGGCTTGACATGCCAACTCGAGTCAAAATAACCATATTGTCCCCATCTGGTTGATGACTCTCACTCTAAAACAAAATGACTATTTTGCTCTCTGGATCATAAAATGTCTCTAACAAGAAGGATTGTTCTTTATTTGTTAAAAGGAAGCCACAGCATGGAAAGGGTTACAAATGCTATGATTTGAATTCCAAACATGTAAAAATAATTGCATGAACCAATTGAGTTGAACTCTCATTCATTGTTCCTTTGGTCTTTCTAGCTAGTTGGTTGGTCTGCTCAATTCGGAATTGGGGAGTATGAAGAAGGGGGCATTAGGAGAGCATATGCTAGTGTAATGTTAAGATGCCTGTATGATTTGTGGACTAGAATAAGCTATTGCATACGGTACTGGTCTGCGAATATTGGTTTTTACAGGTTCATTAACCTCTCTATAATAATAGTAATAGAGCTTCTGCAGGTGAACTTACTGAGGGATTATATATCCCAATTCAAATCTCAATGGCATATTTATGAGGTGAAGTAAAAGTTACTTGTTTTCCATTACTAGCTTGTTACTTTGTTTGGTTCGGAATTCAAAGATCCTGACATGCAAATGACAATTAGAAATAAGGAAATGATGTTTGTACGGCCTATGCTTGATTCATGTCTCATTGTTCTTTGTCTAGGTGGCAGAGCTTGCCCTATTTGAAGAATCTTTTGAAGTCAATATTCGCGATTACACTAAGATAATCCATGGTTACGGAAAGCAAAACCGGCTGCAAGAAGCTGAAAACATTCTTGTTGCCATGAAGAGAAGAGGTTTCATCAGTGATCAGGTAACTCTAACAACCATGGTTCACATGTACAGCAAGGCTGGAAATCTTAAGTTGGCTGAGGAAACCTTTGAAGAGATTAAGCTGTTCGGCCAACAACTGGATAAAAGATCATATGGCTCGATGATTATGGCCTACATCAGAGCTGGAATGCCTGAACAAGGGGAGGTTTTGCTTATAGAAATGGATTGCCTGGAGATTTATGCTGGAAGTGAGGTTTACAAGGCACTACTGAGAGCATACTCCATGCTTGGTGATACCAAAGGTGCACAAAGAGTGTTCGATGCCATTCAGCTTGCCGGTATATCTCCTGATGCCTGGCTTTGTGGGCTCCTGATAAATGCCTATCAAGTGGCAGGTCAAAGTGAAAAAGCACGTATGGCATTCGAAAACATGAGGAGAGCTGGTGTTGAGCCTACTGATAAATGTGTAGCTCTGCTGTTGGCTGCTTATGAAAAGCAGAACAAGCTCAATGAGGCCTTGGATTTTCTGGTGGCTTTGGAGAGAGGTGGAATTGTGATAGGGAAAGAAGCTTCAGGTGTCCTTGCTCAATGGTTTAAAAAGCTTGGGGTAGTTGAACAGGTGGAACTTGTGTTGAGAGAATTTGCGGCCAAAGAAACCAATGGCAGTTGTTGTTAAAACATTGATCTTTAGTTTCTTTTTCAGACATCATCTTGTGGCCAAGTTGTAAAAACTGGTTAGATTGGCTTGGTAATTTGTCATGTTCCTGTAGCCTCTGTATATCAATATATTTGTCTTGGTAGTACTAGTACACCGATGTTTTTGTTTTAGGTAAATTTATTAGATTCGATAATTTAAAATATAAAATTATAATATGATGTAAAAATATATAAAAAAAAAATAATATGATTTAAAATTTTAACAAAAATTATATATGAATTTAACAACAATAAAAAATATATTTTAAATTTTTTATCAGAATAAATTGTGATATTTATATGACATAAATATATGAATATTTTACTGTTAAAAATTTGATTTCCCCGGTAGTAATGAGAATTATTCTTATCAAGAATGTTCCAATAAATAATATATTATACATTTGGATCACAATGAAATTTGGCTTTTGATGAAATTAAAATAGACTATGATGATAAAATTAATTACAATAACGGTTCGATTAAGTATTATAATGATAAAATAAAAATTAATGATAAAATTATGTGAATGTAAATATAACAATAATGGTAAAATTGAGTTTATCAGTTGGTTGTTGTATTCAATAATGATAAAATTGAGGACAACAATAATGATAAGATTAAAAATATGATTTGAAAATTTTTATTAAAATTTTAAATTATTTTTAAATTGTGTCATGGTATATTATTTAAAATAATTAAGTGAACTTATTCCCCCCTAATTTTTTTTTTTTTTACTTCTAATCATTTTTAATGTATTAAAAATTTCATTAGTGCTATCAGGCACTTGTCTGGAAGGAAGACTATAAATAATAATGATTTAAATTAGATTAAATTTGATTTTTTTAATTTAATTTTTAATTTTTTATATATTATTTTAATAAAATTTTTTAATATATTTAAATAAATTGATATATAAAATGCATATTTTTATTTAATAAAAAAATTAAAAAATATATAAAAATATATTAAAAAAATATATAATTCTATTTAATTCGAATTTTTATATTTTGATATAAAATTTAATTTAAACTTAATACATATATTTAATATCTAATTAATTCAAATTGAATAAAAAACAAATTAAACTAAACATTAAAATTTCAAATAAATTTTTATTTTCCCGATTTTTTTCTGAACCCCAACAAAGTCCTCCTTGGAATAAGTGCTCAGAGCAAAATCTAAAATTTCCAAACCATGACAAGTTGGGGACAGCTATATCTGAAATTTATGGTTTGCCATGGTCAAACCATAAATGGCAAAAGAACCTTTTATGGTTTCTGCAGTATCAAGAAAAAAAATCAGAAATGCTATTAACCAAAAAAAGAAAAAAGAAAAAGAAAGAAGTGAAATAACAAACAAGCAAAAAAAAAAAACAAAGTTCCGATCATATTTTTAAAAATAATTTATATATAATTTTTATTAAAATTATACATGATATTATTTTTGTATAATATTATTATATCATATTTAAATTATCCAATTGAATATAAAATAATGTAATTGAAATGAAGAAAATAAGCGTAAGAAGTTCATATTTTATTTGTTAAAAAAGACAAAAAGCATGTCAGGGGTAACAAAATTTTCGATTGTTTATCTGATTTAATAATTTTAAATATAATATAATAATATTACATAAAAAATATAAAAATAATATAATTTAAAATTTTTATAATAATTATATATAAATTTAATAAAATAAAAAATTAATATAAATTATAACATAATTTTAAAATATAATATAATATAAATATATAAATTTTAATATTTTATATAAAATAAATACACTAATCATCGGATTATTTCACTGCCAACTTTGCTGCTTTAAAAGGAAGACCCGAATATATATATTTTAGAAAAGCTTTTTACTTTTTCACCTTAGCTTTTCTCCCTTATTTTTAACTAAATTACTATTTTAACTCCATTTTAATTCAATTTCCCCTCTCACGGACGTGAATTCCTTCTTAACCAAAATTTATATATTGAGGTTATCAATTTACCTAATAATTAATAATTTTTTTAACCCTTATTAAAAAATATTTTACTTTTAATTTCTTTTTTATTTTTCATATTTTGTAATTTTTCACCTTTCTAAAGTAAAAAATCGCTGTTCAGACTAGGAAAATGAAACGAAGGCCAATGGTTTTCTGAAACTGAAACCCAGTGTTTGTGTTTTTTATACTTCAGATTTTTTAAAAATCTGTTTGGTTGGCAAGAAAAAGCTTTTGAAAGTACTTTGCTTGAAAAAATGTGAACAAGTCTAAGAAGAACAGTGTCAGTGGCTGTACTTATAAGTTACAGGTCATGATCTCTACATTTTGTTGTATAAAAATCCATGCTTTTAATGATTTTCTGTTTTTTTTTTTTCTTTTGAAATGAAAATTAAAGTTTTCATTTTTGGTTGAGTTACAGTTTGATTTGAGGATCTAAACAAAAAGCTGAAGTTTGGGTACAAGTAGTTTCACTTGTATCTCTTCATGCATCTTTAAAATTTTTTTTGAGGAATTTTTTTTTAGAAGTTTTTAGCTTTTTTTTTTTTTTTCTAATTTTGAGTATTTTTTAAAATCTATTAAAATTGTCACTTGGAATTTTTTTATTTTTGCATTTTTAATGAATTTCAAAGTTGGACTAATCTTTGTTTCAGCCGCAAGTGAAAGAGAACACTGGTTTTATTAGTTTTTTCTTTTGGGTTTACTCTGAGGATATTGTTTTTATTGTTTGTTTTCTGATTTTTGATTGATGGATTTCTGTTTTGTAGGTGGCTTTGTTTGCATTATGTGCATGGAAGCAAATCCAGGTGTTACAGTGATTGGAGCAGAAGCTCCATCAGCTTATCACATGGCGCCAAGGACAGATAATGCTAGACAGATTGGTGGCGGCTCAACGGCGGTGGAGGCTTCACTAGTTAGTGTAGGATTAACTGGTAGTATAGAAAAGAAGAAGAGAGGTAGGCCAAGGAAATATGGACCAGATGGGACAATGGCAATGGCATTGTCGCCAATGCCTATTGCCTCATCTGTCCCGCCTGGAGGAGGCGAGATCTCTGGTGGAGGAAAGCGGGGGAGAGGGCAAGGCGGTGGTTATCAGAAGGGAATGGAAATGGAGAATTTAGGTAATAACTAATAAGCCCTGAAAGTTGTATGTTTGTTTTTTACTTCAAATTTTAGCATCTTGTTGTTTTAGTTGGAGTTCGCTACGTAGAATCGATGAGGATGGTGTGAATTTCATGTTATAGATTTGGTAGTGGATAGTAATGTTGCTGGTTTCTGTTTGAGTATGGTTCAAGCTAAGTGAATTTGCCAATTAGTCCTGCACCAGGGTTTCGAAACCGGTCACTCTGATTGATTCAGAAATCGCTGAGTGCCTCTTTGAAAGAGTCCATATGTGAAGTCACTCCTTAATAGTACTTGTTGAACCTTTTTGCGGGACCCTTGTTGGAGATGCTGTTCTTCAGATTTGAAAGTATAATGCCGGTTTTGTGAATAAAAAAGTGGCGTTTTTGTGTGGTTGGTGTGACTAGTGACTTGAGAGGTTGAGGAATATTCTTCTTGTGGCCTTTTCATCAAGGATTTTTCAAGATGCTCACAATGATATACAGAAACAGAATTAAACTTGTTAAAGGAGCAAGATTGCTTGATCGGTAATTCCTTTTTGTTACCAAGAATTAAGCAGACAGAAAATATGTTTCTATTCTTGACCTTATGGAATCTGGTTTGCTGAAGTATTAAACCACTGCGTACGTTGCCCGTTCCAAGTTGAAATCCTTTGCTGAATTCATGCCAAATCTCAACCATATGTAGATCTATGTTTCTAGTTTGACAAACATGGCTAAAGTGTATATTAGCACATAATTTTTTTTCTTTAACAGCAAAATTCCATATTTACCGATGTTCCTTAACTGTTTTGTAGGTGAGTGGGCTGCTACGTCTGTAGGAACAAATTTTATGCCACATGTCATCACTGTCAATGCCGGTGAGGTACGCTTTGATATGGGAAAGAGATAGAAGAATGGCTTTGTTTCTTTTGACGGAAACATTCTTGTGATTCATTTCTATCATTGTCAAAACTTGAAGACTTATGCAGACATTCTGGGTCCATTCTTTTTGTGGCTGTTAGCGTCTTTCAAATTGTGTTGGATCTTTTCCTTGTTCATATTTCTAAACCTTAGTCCTTGACACCTGGGCACTGTCAAATCATGAAACTTAACTTTGTATTGTTTCGGGGGAGAATTTGTGGGTCTCTACGGCGTTTGTTATCATATTATTGCTTCTTGAACTATGAGATTCGTGTTAAAGATAAGTTTAGTGGTTGCACTTTTAGCTATTCTTTTCTTTACTCCATATTCAGGAGGGTTTCTTTATCACTAAATCTACATTTTTCCTACTGTAATCTTTGATTTTCTTTGGTGTTTAAGGATGTAACGATGAAGGTGATATCATTTTCTCAACAAGGACCAAGAGCTATTTGCATCTTATCTGCTAATGGAGTAATTTCAAATGTTACACTTCGTCAGCCCGATTCTCCAGGGGGTACTCTGACGTACAAGGTTAGACAAATTAGAACTTACCACCACATTCCAAAATATTTGGAGTTTCCAATAATATTTATAGTTTTGTATGTAAGTTAGTTTCTCCCTGCTGTATGCAAAGATTGTTATTCTTTCAAAAACTGTAGTGTATCTATGATGTGTTTGATTCTGGGATGTGAATCAAGGTTTGTTGCATGATGTTTTAAGGGACAGGAGGGGGCCTAACTTCGAATTATGATGACGGATATGTTACCATGCATCGACTAAATTTCATAGGATTAGTCTTAGTAACCAATGGCTCATATACAAGAGAGGAAGAAACATAGAAAAAGATGATTTGTTTGTTCATACATTAACATCTATGCTTTTTTGATTTCTAATCCATGATACCCTCGTCTTTTCTATTTTCTTGTAGGGTTGTTTTGAGATACTTTCCTTGTCCGGATCCTTCATGCCTACAGAAACGCAAGGAACAAGAAGTCAATCTGGTGGGATGAGTGTCTCTTTGGCAAGTCCTGATGGCCGTGTTATAGGGGGAGGAGTTGCTGGGCTTCTGGTAGCTGCCAGTTCTGTACAGGTAAGCGTTTTAGTGTTAAATTTTCCTGTGGGGGCCTCTCTTGTTGCGAGTGATTCTACCAGTAGTCTGAGCAATACGTTGAGCATCTGTTCAAACATAGTAATCCTTGTCTAAAAGAACAAGAATTTGCATCAGCCAACAAACATGCATGAGACTCGTGTCAAAATCATAGAAAACTATAATCGATCTTTAGCCATTCTAACATTTCCTGGCACTATGTGGTTTCTCGAACAATTTAAAAAGATTAGTCTTTTCATTAATCAATCTTGGTCTGGAGCGCATTGGTTAATTTTTTTGCTCAATTATGAGGTTGTTGTAGCTAGTTTTTTACCGGGCAACCAGCATGACCAAAAATCCAAGAAGCCGAAAAATGAGTCTGTACTAGCTACCGTTGCACCAAACCCGAATATTGTTGTTGCACCTGTTTCAGATGCAGAAAAAGAAGATGGAATCGATGGACTTTTGAACCAAAACTCGAATGGCCCGAAACCGAACTTTGCTACCACTACATTCTGAAGAGAAAATTGGACCACCATGTAGGAGCCAAGAAATTCAGCAACTGATATCAACATTTCTTTGCTTGCAGGTTAGTTTGATAAATCACAACCATTCATCTCAGAGGCTGACTAGATCAATCCCTGATGTGTTTTTTCTACAAAGAGTGGAGTTTATGTGTTCTTGAATATTAATGTGGGATTAGCATTCCTGATATCCAGCTAGGTTTTGATGTCTCAGGCAAAGACAACTTTTCCCAGATTTGAAAATCTCCCAATTATGGAGTGGTGAGCTTTATTAATCTGGTTTTGTTGATATCCTTCAACGACTGACTTGGTTAAAATCCAACGAAATCTAGTTTATTACTGAAAAAATTTAAGAGTTAGTATTTGAGCCGCCATCCAAATAGATTGGCCATGTCTCTTTTTTTTTTTTATAGATGTTAATCTTATCCAAATTTAATAGAAATTCGATTTTTTATATGAACAAAGATGTGGATGAATATTAAATTTTGAGCACGAGGACTTAGCTCGATATAAGTTTAAATTTTGTAGAGTATGAGTATGAAAACGGATAATATAACAATAGTTGCTAATTTTTTTTTATCCATATTTTTATCCGTATTTTATATATAATTATATATATTTAATAAATAAAATTTTTATTTAATAATATAAATTTATTTTAGATTAATTAGAATTAATATGTTTTTATTTTAAAAATATTTATAAAATATTACATAAATATGTAAGATAAAAATTAAAAAATAAAAATAAAAATTTATTTTTATTTTAAAAAATGTTATAATACGAAAATTAATTATACTTATTAAATATCAATTGAGATGTGGAGATGAATTTAAAATATTTATTGAATATGAATATAAAAATAAATATATATAAAAAATTAAAAATAAAAAATAAAAACTTAAAACAAATTTTTATTTTATTTTTTTTTAAAATGTTATGGTAATTGCACTCATTAAATATTAGTGGAGAAGAAGATGAAGATAAATTTAAAATATTTATTAAATACAAGTACGAAAATAAATATATATATATATATATAAATCTGAAAATGAAAATGAAAATAAAAAATACTTAAAAATGCTATCCTAGACATCTTAAGATTTTACTCATCTCAAATCTCAAATCTCTGTCTTTTGCTTTGTTTTATTTTAAATTCTACTATTAATTCAATGATTATCCGGAATCAATTTCTAGGTCCACAAATGGCGCTGTTGCCGTTGGTTGAGAATTGAGAACTTTTCTAATCCGACTCGACTCGATTTGACCAGATATAAAAGGTTGCCAGCCCTTCTTATTTTTACTCAATACAAACTGGCATGGATTCTGAGCATCCAGCAGCCCCATTAAAATTTATCTTAAGAAGCATTTGTTTTACAACGTTTGGCAGATTAATGTAAATGAAACTTCAGCATAACAAGTTTGGAAACACAAAAAAGAACAGCAGAACATACATAGATTTTATGGTTTTCAAGCTTATAATTAGATGTACATTATCACAAACTTCATGCTTATAATTTGATGTACATTATCGATGTACATTATCACAAACTTCAAGCTTATAATTTGATGTACATTATCACAAACTTCGTCAGCCTCATCTGAACCCAGAAAGATTCATAGGAACTGATTCAACAATATTTTTCGACACTTCCTGCATTTTCCAGCATGATTTGAACCAATTAGTTAACAGTGTTCTAGAGATTTTCTTTTTCATTTTTTTATACTTCTTTTTAATATAAGAGACTGCAACCTAAAAATTCAAATTTCAAAACTGTTGGATATCACCTTTCAAGGGTAATTGTATGATCCAATCGAGTTAAGTTTCGAATTTTTTTTTTATATTTTAGATTATTAGGATTTAAACTTTGATCACTAACACTCTATTAAAAAAATAGAGATTTTTATTATTATGTCAAAATAATATAATATGGAGGTGCTAGACAAGACTTACTAAAGATAGTTTCTTTCCTTGCAGCACTTGATAGCTTCATCAAGCATTTCCTCAACCCCATATTTAAATTTGAAACCTGCATCCAATAGTTTCTTTGATGACAAACCAGGGACTTTTGTACCTTTGATTTCAGCCAAGAAACTGCCACGAAAATAAGTTGGAGAAAAATCTGCTTTTAGTCCAAGATTGTTCTATTGTAAGCTTGAATTATTGAGAAAAATGCAGAGGAAAATCACTTCACTCACTCTGCTGTTGGAATTGGGAACTCTGGATACTTGGAAGAAAGAATTTCAGCCATCTTTAGAATGCTTATAGTGTCGTAAGAACAATTGTATCTCCCTTTTGCTTCAGGATACTCAAGCAGGAAAATATGTGCCCTTGCAACATCATCAACATGCACCATTGATATATTTAGAAGAAGGCTATATTCATGCTCGTTCCCTGTGCACAATCAAACAGAAACACTTGCTGAATCTAATATTTAATTTAATTAGTTCATACAATCATGGTATTTAGTAGGTTAGGAGTTTGAACAATAACGGATTTAGGATTTTTTTTTTGCAAAAGTGTCTAGTTATAATATATATAACTGTTAACGGATTTACCAATTCTATCAGATAGGGTGTCAGGACAAATTTTTTTGTTTTTCTAATCTTTGGATGTGTCTATAGACACCCTGTTCTTGAATATTGATATGCCCCAAGTTCAAATTCCAACACTGCAATTTTTTTTTTTTTTAATTTCAGATTACAATCTCTTTTGTGAAAAATTCGTTGGATTTTGAATGAAACAGAATAATAAAACTCGTCCCATTACTATATATATATATATATATATATAACTGTTGAAGAATTTACTAATTCTATTGGAGAGGGTGTCAACATAAATTTTCCTTCAAATTTTTTTGTTTTTCTAATCTTTGGATGTGTTAATAAATAGCTAATTTTTAAAGACAGATTTATCATGAGATTAAATCTCGATACTTGTAATATAAATTTTTTTATCTCAAATTACAATATCTTTTATAAAAAAACTTTTTGGATTTAGAATGAAACATAGTAATAAAACTTGTCACATTGCATAATTAAAAGCCTAACCAACAGAAGAAAACAATTTTGCATGCATCAAATTAAGATGGGAAGAAAGATAACTAGCTTTTTACCCAAGACCAGAGCCAATGTTGAGCGCACTGAGCTAGGGAACTTGGGGCAGATGAAAGGACCAACAACAAATGTAGGAATCACTGTCACCAAATCCAATCCATGTTCTGCTGCAAATTCAAGAGCAGCCCTTTCTGTCAAAGTCTTGGAAATCATGTAAGTATGCATGTGTGGATTTGATGTTTCCCTAACAAATCCCACGTCTGTCCAATAACTCTCATCCCTCATCTCCTCATCCTCGTTGTTGAACTGAACGGCTGATGCACTAGAAGTATAGACAACTCTCTTCACAGTCTTTGATTTTAAGCATGCCTTCAAGATGCCTAGTGTTCCACTGATTGCCCTTCTGATTACTGTTTCTTCAGGTTCTTTGTACTCGAAATCGACAGGGGTGGCAACATGGAGGACTCCTTTGCATCCTTCAATGGCTGCATCGAAGCTGTCAGGGTCATTGAGATCTGCACTGTAAATTTTCAGCTTTTCGGCTGCCCCTGGCAGATTGGTGAGGAAACTAATGTCTCTTTTGTTTTCTGGTCATATGTCACAGATTAAAAAAATCAACAATAATGTAGTATGTTTTACTAATATAGACTCAAACCATTCGTAAATTATTTGGGTTGAACTAAAAGAAATTCGAATTTATGCTACTCAAATAACGAATCTAAGCCGAGTTGAAGTAATTTAACACCCAACTTGAGATGTTCACAAGTGTATAAACAATCTTAATCAAACTTTTATTTTTTTAATATATATAAATAAATGAGTAATACAATATTTAATGTTAATATTTATAATTTTATAAAATCTAACCAAATTTATCAAACCAAGTTCAAGCAAATCTTTTAAATTATGAGCCAATAAATCTATTAAATTATGAGCCAAGTTTAAATGTGAAAAATAAAAATCAATTGAACTCAAATCAAGTTTTGAATTAAGACTTGAATTTTCGACTTGAGCCAAACTAAGACTCAAGCCAAACTAAAACCTGATAGTGTATCAATTCAATTCGACTCCATTAGGCCTTTATACGACCAACACCACCCTTTAGTTTTCAAAAACCAGCAAAAGGAATGAAAATGAGCATGGGATTCAGCAGGAAAGCTGAATTATTCCCGGATAAATCATGTTTAGTTGTTCCGCAACCTGAAATCAATATCTAAATTGATCTACCCTCTTACCTGGATCAGGTCTGACAGTGGTATTGACAGAGTAACCCTCTTCTAGAAGCCTCTTGATCAGCCATGAACCTATAAACCCTGTGCCTCCTGTCACACACACAGTTCCTTTGTCTCCTTCCATCCCCGTTGTCTCTCTCTTGTAGTTTCACACTGCTCTCTCACAAGATTTGCAACCCTATAAATCATGATTTTTCTTTGTGTTTGGTGGCGCCCTTCATTTTCCATGTGGAATTCTTTGGTTGGTATTGGTTAAAACTTCGTTTTCCCTTTTCAATTGTGTAATGAATGTGTTTTACTAGTACCGCTGACGATTGGAGAATTTTTTTGAGTTATTATGTAAAATAATTCTGTATTATACGTTTTTTTTATCATAACTAAATAAATAAAATTTTTGCTTTGATATTTTTTATTTCATTAAGTATGTTGATATTTTATATTGTCATTATCAATTAAGTGATTGATATGGTATGAATATATAATAAAATCATGTCATATATTATAAATATTTAATAATCATCATGTCAATAATTTTTTTTTATTTTTTTCCTATTCTTTCTTTTTTTTTTTCATTTTTTAAATTTTGAATTAAAAATATATATTTTAAAGATTTTTGAATTTTTTTTATTTAAATGTTGACATGAAAAATAAGTAATATGATGATATTGGGACATTTATATTAAATGTCATGATTTTATTGGATTTTAATGTCACGTATCAAAGTATTTAACAGAATAAAAGTTTAAATACTAAAATAAAAATTTTATTTTTTTAAGTATCAAACTTACAAATTATATAATACAAAAATCATTTTTATATTTAACTCAATTTTTTCTGAACATTTTTTATTGATAAAATTGATCAACAGTTTTTATTTGTTATAAGTAAATACTTAAAAAAAAAAAGTATTAGTTGGTAGTGTTAGTTGGAATGAGCATATAAATCACTAATAATCCTCAAGCACACGAGCAGAATTCTTCACATTGTTGGAATGAGTATATGATAAACTAAAAGCACGTCAAAATAATTATGGGGCATATTCATGACTTCTTTGGTTGGTAGTATTAGTTGAAAGAAAGCAACTGATCACTAGATTTCGGATTTAATTTGATTTTTTAGAATAATGTATAATATTATAAAATTTTTAAATTCAATCTAAATCTAAATTGATTTTTTTTTAAACCAATTTGATCCGAACTGAAGTCTATCAGTTTGGTTAATCAGTTTTTAAATTTTTTTTTAATTTTTATATATTATTTTAATAAAAATTTTAATATATTTAAATAGATTTATATATAAAATAATTATTTTTATTTTATAAAAATTTAAAAAATATATAAAAATTAATAAAAATATATAATTCGATTTATTTTTTTTTTTTTCAGTTTTTTACGTCTGATTCAAATTTAATATATATATATATATAATATCTTACATTGATTCAAATCGAATAAAAAAATTGATCGAATTAAATTAAATACTACGATTTCGAATCAACTTTTGATTTTTTTAATTTTTTTCTCATCCCTGTTGATTACTAATAGATGGTTGGCTTAAGTGATAAAGAAAGTGTTTTATTTTTTGTTGCTTAGATCTGAATCCATTAAAAAGTTGTGGAAAGATAATTTTTATGAATTCATTAGATCTGACATAAATAAACATATTTGGATCAACCCGAAAAAGGATGTGTTGAGCCGAGCATAAAAACTCCTTGTTACTAAATAAAAAAAAAGTAATTGATCATGGTCATGGCATTCTTTTATTTCTCGTTGGGTAAGAAACTTTTTAATTGAAGGTTAAGCAAAGAAACTTGGCTGCATGCAATTAGCTGCAAAACAAACAATGAAGTCCATGCTCCATGAAAACACAAGCATCCAAACATGAAATACAGCAGAAAATACATGTACTTTCCTGTTATCATACCAAAACAATAATGAGCTTCATGAACCTCGCTAAAATCCTAAAATCTTCACATGAAGTACTCCATCATCCGTTGGTTCCAAGACTTGTAATATCACGAACATGTTGTTGATGATGATTTTCCACTTATATCTTCGGCTGTAATCTTCCATTTTAGGTCTTGATTGAACTTAAGGTGAAACTTTTAAAGGACATAAGAACAGGCTTCAAGTCATAGTACTTAATCATAATTAAAGATATAATACTTAATTGTATTATTATCATATTTTGCAAATATTTCTAACATCGTTATCGCTCAAACCCTTGGAATCTACAATGTACCAAATCGAAACAATCAGTTAATATGTTCCTATAGATTTTGTACCATGGTGTGAAACCAAGCTAGAGAGAGATGATTATGCTTTACTAGAGAAACCCTTTTTGCTTGCAACATATCCTCAACCCCATAGTTAAATTTGAAACCCAAATCCAATGGTTTCTTTGATGACAAACCAGGCAATTTAGTACCCTCAATTTCTGCTAGGGAACTGCTAAGAATTAAAAAGGCTGTAAAAATTTTCTTTGAGTCCCAAACCAAGGTTCCATTTGGTCCAGACATAAAACGCTTTCACCGGTATGACGGGAGCAATGCAATCGGACTCCCAAATGGAGCCTAAGATAACATGTGTTTATAATTGAGAAAATTCCAAGAAAAAAAAATGAAAAAAGCTTTTACTCACAAGTGTGAATGCTGGATAATTAGCCCAAAGAATTTCAACAATCGTTTGAAGAGTAATTGGGTCAGTGGAATAATTATACCTTCCTTTTTGCCTCGGATGCTCAAGCAGGAATATAAGTTTAATGAGGAAGCTAAGGTCTCTTTTGTTTCCTGCTCATATTTCAGCATCATTTATAGTTAAGCTTAATTCTTTCTAGAGTATAGCAAATATTATATATGACAATTCATGTATTTATTTATTTATTTCATATCAAATACCTATAAAATATAAAAAATTATTATTTCAAAATTTGTATTAATATGTTAAAAACCAAATATATTTTTTAATTTTTACCAAATTTATTTATAATTTTTGTTAAATTTTTTGTGTTTTTTTTTATCATTTTTGTATTGCAATTCCCATGGCATTTGTCCAAAATTAAGAACCATTTTTCTTAGAACTTTCTTCGCTATATGGTAGAAATGTGGAACTGCATTCACTTGCATCCTTGACTAGTGATTACTTTTCTCAAGACAAAATGCTTCATAATAATCAATTCTATTGTAATTTGTACTATTACTAAAAGCTTACGAGTCATCCTTGCAAGTATGGTTTCTAAAATATAGAAGAAATTTAGAAGGGTCCTTATAATTTGTGGAGTTGTAAAATTTGACTAGATGTCTAGAAAATTAAAGCCACTTTTATAATTGTCCAATCGGTGATAATTAGGTTGAATCTAATTTGTTGTCTTTGTTGATTTATCATCAATTTAAGTTCTTTTTGATAACGTGATGAAAGTCTCTTTTCATTATATATGGTATCGATTTATGATTCAATCTTTAAATTTTATTTATTCTTTGAATATAGCTCTCGTAGTAGAAGTAATGTCAACAACTGATTTTACGGTATTGAATTATTTGCCAGGGATAATGCTTTAAAATCACTGCAACAAATTTGATAATTAATGATGCACTACAAGAAAATGGTGTATTAACGACAATTTTGTAACGATCATTCATTTACAAATGCCGCTAGCTTTTGTATTTTTATAAAACTTCAGGCATTTATTATCAAAACGTCACTAAATTTTCAAATAGCGGCGTTGGTACTTATAAACGCTACCCAACACTATATATCAATGGCGTTTATGGATAAAAACGTCTTGAATAATTTTATTAAAAATTTTAGTGAATAGTAAATATATATTTTTTTTTACAGACAACACCTTCAATAATCACGTCATAAAAAATTGTATGAGCTTATTGAAGGCGTTTTCCACAAGAAACGCCTTTAAAAATGCCTTCAATAATTTGATCAAAAAATTTCGCAGGCTTATAAAAATATTTGGATCGTATGGATGTTTACCATTATGTTGTAGGTTCCATCCCTCTCTTTAGCTTTTTTTTTTTTTTTTACACATATTATTTGTAATTGATTATTTTAGGTATTTTTTTGACAAAAACGCATTCACTAATTGCTTTAAAAAAAATTTCAAAGACTATTGAAGGCATTTTTCTCAGAGAGACGCCCTTAATAATTCATAGACGTTTTTGACCTATTAATTCTTAAAGGCATTTTTAGCCGAACTCGCCTTCTATAATCCAATAAGTTTTTGTTGTGATTATTAAATGAGGTTTTTGCCAAAAACGTCTTCAATAAATCAGAGACAAAAGTTGGAAGGGATGCTTGAAGGCATTTTTTGCTCAAAATGTCTTTAATATTCCCAACGATAAATTTTAATGGGCGAATTATTGAAGGTGATTATATCCAAAAAATACCTTCAAAAACATTTTAGTTGGTATTATTAAAGACGATTTTGGTTAAAAGTGCCTTCAATATTTTTTGTTAGGGATGATTGAAGGTATTTTCTTACTTAAAAATACCTTCATTAATCCCATCAAAATAACATATTTGATATTGTATATGTATAGTCATTTGTAGGTTTATGCCCAAAAAAATGTTTACTGTCAGTTGTATATTTATGCCTAGAAAACATTTGGTTTATATATATGATACTATGAATTACATTTTGAAATTTACATAATGAACATTGTTGTATTTCAATATATTGACCACACATCCAAAATTAAAACTGATAACATTGCCATATTAATATACTTTTCTAAAATAATCATACTCAATAATTTATTAAGTACATATAGTGTATTCATATTAAATATAACAATAATATTAAACCAATACCCCAATGTACAAACTTAAAGTTTTCATACAACATGGCATGTTAAAAACATTATAACAATTTGTTCGATATATATTTACATTCAACCAACAATGTCTAATCTGAAGGTTTATCAACATTGATAAATGATAATATATAATCACACCATTCTTTACGGACTTCATCCAGTTTCTGAGAAGCTTTCTTTACCTTCTCATTAAAATAAATATCAGAAGTAAATGTTAAGAAATGAGAACATAATATACCTTTTTTATTTTTTTCAAGATATAAGAAGTTTATGAAATTTACACTAACCTTGACTGGTGTAGTCATAAAATCATGTAACACTATCTCTTACATAAAACGAAAGACATAA